GCTGGGCGTGGAAACGCCACCAGCGGGCTCCTACCCCTGCTCTTGGGGCCTGTGTCGCCCCCTGCTGGCTGGGCCTGGAAACGCCAACAGCGGGCTCCTATCTCTGCTCTCGGGGCCTGTGTTGCCCCCTGCTGGCTGGGCCTGGAAACGCCAACAGCGGGTTCCTATCCCTGCTCTCAGGGCCTGTGTCGCCCCCTGCTGGCTGGGCCTGGAAACGCCAACAGCGGGCTCCTACCCCTGCTCTTGGGGCCTGTGTCGCCCCCTGCTGGCTGGGCCTGGAAACGCCAACAGCGGGCTCCTATCTCTGCTCTCGGGGCCTGTGTTGCCCCCTGCTGGCTGGGCCTGGAAACGCCAACAGCGGGTTCCTATCCCTGCTCTCAGGGCCTGTGTCGCCCCCTGCTGGCTGGGCCTGGAAACGCCAACAGCGGGTTCCTATCCCTGCTCTCAGGGCCTGTGTCGCCCCCTGCTGGCTGGGCCTGGAAACGCCAACAGCGGGTTCCTATCCCTGCTCTCAGGGCCTGTGTCGCCCCCTGCTGGCTGGGCCTGGAAACGCCAACAGCGGGCTCCTATCCCTGCTCTCGGGGCCTGTGTCGCCCCCTGCTGGCTGGGCCTGGAAACGCCAACAGCGGGCTCCTATCCCTGCTCTCGGGGCCTGTGTCGCCCCCTGCTGGCTGGGCCTGGAAACGCCAACAGCGGGCTCCTATCCCTGCTCTCGGGGCCTGTGTCGCCCCCTGCTGGCTGGGCCTGGAAACGCCAACAGCGGGCTCCTATCCCTGCTCTCGGGGCCTGTGTCGCCCCCTGCTGGCTGGGCCTGGAAACGCCAACAGCGGGCTCCTATCCCTGCTCTCGGGGCCTGTGTCGCCCCCTGCTGGCTGGGCCTGGAAACGCCAACAGCGGGCTCCTATCCCTGCTCTCGGGGCCTGTGTCGCCCCCTGCTGGCTGGGCCTGGAAACGCCAACAGCGGGCTCCTATCCCTGCTCTCGGGGCCTGTGTCGCCCCCTGCTGGCTGGGCCTGGAAACGCCAACAGCGGGCTCCTATCCCTGCTCTCGGGGCCTGTGTCGCCCCCTGCTGGCTGGGCCTGGAAACGCCAACAGCGGGTTCCTATCCCTGCTCTCAGGGCCTGTGTCGCCCCCTGCTGGCTGGGCCTGGAAACGCCAACAGTGGGCTCCTACCCCTGCTCTCGGGGCCTGTGTCACCCCCTACTGGATGGGCCCAGAAACCACAACAGCGGGCTCCTACCCCTGCTCTTGGGGCCTGTGTCGCCCCCTGCTGGATGGGCCCGGAAACACCAACAGCAGGTTCCTATCCCTGCTCTCCGGGCCTGTGTCAGACCCGCTGGCTGGGCCCGGCAGCTGGCACGACCCATGCTCTCGAGCCCGGTTCGATCCCCCAGCGCCAGCACACAGCTGTGACTCAGTCCCGGAACAACAGCTCTGCTGCTGCCCCTCCAGCCACTGCTGGGACCGAAGCCCCCGATGCAGCCAGAGGAAAAGGGAGCCGCCTGCTAGCCACTGCGGTATGGGGGGGGCACCAAGCAATCCCCACAAAGCAGGGCCAGCAGGGCGGAGGCATGGCCCCTCCACCCAGGCCAGGTCGGGGGCACCATCGCCCCATAGGCAGAGGCCTCTGCGGATCAGATGTCCTGGAGAACAGCAGGTTTCGGTTCCCAGGGGCTAAGGGACTCAGTTTCCCCAGGGAAGGAGACACTCTGGGCCAGGAGTTCAGGCACCGGCTACCCGTAGCGTGAGGCAGCAGAGTCTAGTGGGTAGAGCAGGGGAAGGGGAGCGTCTGTGTTCTACTCCCATGCCACTGGGGCAGGTCCCTGAACACCACCCAAATAGAGTGACCCTGAAAGGCCTGCTCCCTGGGGGAGGGGAGTCTGCAAACGGGGGCCTGGCTGTGGGCCCCAGGCTCCCCATGCTGCCTGGGCCTCCCCCCCCCAGCTATAAGAAGGGCGGCGTCGCCTCGGGGATGAAGCACGTGGAGACCAACACGTACAACATCCAGCGGCTGCTGCACGTGAAGGGCAAGAAGAATGTGGTAGCTGGAGAGGTGGGTAGTGGGGGGGAGGGGAGGGACACGCGTGCCCCCCCCGCTGCATCTTAAACCCAGCTCCTGGGGCCCTTTGTCAGGGCAGCATGTAGACAGGGGGTCTCCTTCACTTCCTGTCCCAAACATTCACACAGAGCCACTGGGTGTCACTAGCATCTGTGCCTCACCCCAGAGGTGGCTGCATTTTTATGGGTCGGGGAGGCTGTGGCTAATGAAATTCAGTGTAACAGGAGAGCGGAGGCCGACAGGCTCATATCATGGTGAGCCTGATGGCAGTGAGGGCAGCATGTAGACAGGGGGTCTCCTTCACTTCCTGTCCCAAACATTCACACAGAGCCACTGGGTGTCACTAGCATCTGTGCCTCACCCCAGAGGTGGCTGCATTTTTATGGGTCGGGGAGGCTGTGGCTAATGAAATTCAGTGTAACAGGAGAGCGGAGGCCGACAGGCTCATATCATGGTGAGCCTGATGGCAGTGGCTAGGCACTGGGACAGGGCATGTGCAATGCTGCCCTCTGTGGGGCAGACTCAGAATTGCAGTGCTGTGTGTCATAGGCCCTATACTGCTGGTGGGGATTCCCCTTTCACTCCCCTCCAAGGAAGAGAGAACCCCGGCGTCCTGCCGCCAGCCCTGTGCTTTACCCCCTTGTGCTGCCTTCCTCCGGCAGGTGGAGATGAGCTGGGACAGCTTCAACAAGGGGGACGTTTTCCTGCTGGACCTGGGCAAGCTCATCATACAGTGGAACGGCCCCGAGAGCAACCGCACCGAGAGGCTGAAGGTAGCGGGACCGTGGGGGGCTAGAGCCCTTCCCCCAGAGGCCTCAGCGCTGGGTCCCGCCGCCCAGCCCGGCTGGTGATTGGGCGAGACCCGGGGGGGACGTGAGACCCGAGCGGGAGCTCCAGGGGCCTTGGCTGCTG